AATTCAAGAAGAAAACTAGAGCAAAGAGTTTGAACAAAGTTCGGTTTTTGTATTAAGAAGAATCAATGATATAATTAACAAGAGGAAAGGCCTTTATATAGGCATCAACTAGATCTAGTCCTAATATAACTATAACTCTAATAAAGCAATAAAATATTAGGTGTCCTAAACAAACTAGAAAACAAGAAGATAAATATCTAGAATATCTCTTGCTTGCAACTCAAGCCGCCATTGTGCGCGTCCGCGTTGCCTAATTGCCCAAGGACTAGGGCTTCATCTTTCATTCCCGTGCACGCGTCCAGCAGCTCACCTAATCCTCGCGCGCCTAGGCAAGTTCGCGCGTGCACCCCGTCGCCTGCGCGTTCAGCCCTGCGCTCGGCCCCGATAATATCGAGCGCGTCATCTTCCGCGCGCGCTTGCCCATCCGCGTATGGCGCCTCTCCGGCACGACGACTTAGCCTCCTTCGCGCATGCCACGCGCGACTCGCTGCATTCTTGAGCCTTCGCCGTGTCCGCATCATTCCCGTCCCCTTCAAGTGCTTCCTTGTCCTCAAGGAAGAAGTCGGGGAACATCTCGCGCATCTCGTCCCAACTCTGCCAAGTTGCTTCCTCGCTCGGTAAATCCTTCCATTCGACGAGCACTTCCCAAAAATATTTTCCAGCCTTTTTGACTTGCCGATACTCTACCGCACGGCTCGGCCGCACCATAACCTGCCCATCCGGCGCGACCGCGGGTAGTCGATCCTTTGCCGCATGCGCTTCGCCGAGTCGTTGCTTGAGTTGTGAGACGTGTATGACCGGATGGATATGGGAATCGTCCGGCAACTCAAGTCGATAAGCAACCTTTCCAACCTTGGCCAAAATTTTATAAGGCCCGTAATATTGAACTCCGAGTTTGGTCGCGGCCCTTTGCGCAACCGTCCTTTGCCGAAACAGCCTCAACTTCAAGTATACCCAATCCCCGGGCTCAAACTCTACGTCGCGCCTCTTGCCATCATGGTACGCCTTCATCCTATTGATCGAGCCCTCCAACATCCGCTTTAGCTCACGCAACATCAAGTCACGCTCGACCAACTCTCGATCGACCTCATCGTTCATGGCGCTCCCCATCGAGTAACTCACAATCGTCGGCGGTTTGCGCCCGTACACCAACT